TACATATGTGAATTTTACACCATCCTGCTTGTACCAACTATCAGACGTACAATTAGCGATAGCCTACAATGTTTTGTAGGCWTGATAATTTTTTTTTTTTAATTTTTTTGATCACAATATTTTTTTTTTTCTAATAGTAAAGAGTAGTCCCCCCCCCACTGTTGCTGCCCCTCCTAGCGAATCTTTTTTTCATCTTTCCAGGAAAAAGGCTCATTACCACGCTTCGTCCTTTTTTTTTCTTTCTTTCTTTCTTTCTTTCTTTATTTTATTTTTAGTTTTGTTCAATTTCTTATAAATAATAAAAAGTTATGACTTATTATTAATTATTTTAATATTGTGTGAGTCTTTTTCGTAAAAGTATATAATTAATAAGAAATAAAATGTTTTTGTGACTTAATATAAAAAAGAAAAAAAAAAAATAATAAAATGAAAAGTAAAGAAAAAAAAGAAGAAAAAAAAAAAATCAAGTAATTATCCATCAAACGTGTAAAGTAAACTTATGGTGTTATATGTAACTTGAATGTAACTTAAAATGAAACAACGAGCATCATTTGATATTTTATCTTATATGGATAATTATTATCATCATCATCATCATTATCAACGATTTAATAATTCATTAGATCTATTAGTGTTAGAATTAAATTACTTTTTTTTTTTTTATAACTATTATCCTTTGTGAACTTTTTTGATACTTATCCCGTTATAGTTAACATTACAAACAAATTGCTAATCAAACGTGATCAGCATCGATCAGCATCGATATCGTTAACATTATTTTATTGTGCTTTTATTATTTATTAAAAAATACATCTAATTTTTTTCGCCTCTATAATATAATATAATGTAATATAATATAATATAATATAATCATTTGCGTTTGTGTGAATCATATAAAAATTTGACGTGTTTTTTTTTTTATTAATCGTCGTGTATGACGATGAACGTTCGCATATTCACATTACAAAGGAAGGAAAAAAATAATAGCTGCTGCGACTTATTTGTATTTTACATTTGTCTTCTTTTTTTTCTTTTGTTTCTTTTCTTTTTTTTTTTTTTATAAACGAATATCTATAATTATAGATCGTCGTTATCGTCGTAAGTATATTTGCAAACGACAAACGATTGATTTTTTTTTTTATGTATATATATATTTATATATATGTGTTAATATTATTTAATTGAAAAATGAAAATTGTCAAAAAGCAACGACGCCATATACGTGAATCTTGAAATAGTAACTACAAGATTATCTCACGAATTTCTCAGGAGACGATGGTGGTGATGGTGGTGAGCACAATGCGCAATTATTGTTGTTGTCGGTTGTTGTTGTTGTTGTTGTAGTTGTTGCTTACCCTAACTCTAAAAAAGGATATCTTTACAACCTCGGAGTAAGACAATAAGTGCAACTTTATGTACAATAGTTCAGCTACAGCCCTTTTCTCGATTCGTTCGGCTATTAACCGCGGCGCTTTACAACAGCTCACCGAAACACGTTTTATCCCCATAAGAAAAAGAAAAAAAAGGGAAAAGTCTTTTTACAACCATAAGTAAGGTCAAAATCGTCCAATGATTTTGATTACTATTATTCTTCTTATTCTTCTTCTCGTGGAAAATCCTCATTTTATTATTACATTTGTTATCATCTTTGTTTTCTCCTCCTCTCATCGTAGTCGTCGTCGTCGTTGTTGTTGTTCTAAATGGTGTGGCCAATATAATGGTTAACTCATGTTGAATGTTGAGAAAGAGGTTGAAGAGGATTTAGGGCCCAATGTTAACTTCGTTCTTTTTCCATGTAAAAATTCCCGCAAGTGTTGAAAATGGTAATCGAGGAATGATAAAAGAGGTTAAAACACGTTAGTCGTCAGCCATGAAACAACAATCGTTTGTCGTAGTTTAATCGTTCGTCCAATCAAACGTAGTCGCCCCAAATAGTGACAGTCTTCGAACGGTCGACCGATGCTAAGAAAGTTCCATGTGGATGCCATGAGACAGCTGTCACAGTTGCTCTGTATGGTGGTTTGTTTTTGTTTTTCGTACGTTGATCCAAAAATAAAAAAAGAAAATTAAAGAAATCAGATTAATGCACATACAAAAAAGATCCATCGTATTTGTTACTTTGAAATTAACTATTATTATATTATTAATGTGTTCTTTTTGTTTATTTTTTGAAACACGTGGTTATTAGTGGTGAATATAAAAAAAAGAAACACAATTCTTTGATATGAACTACTCGTTGTTTATATTATTAAAAAATGCGTTTATTTGAAGTGAACTAAATCGAAACACGGTTTAAATGAATGAACGATACGACGAAGTATAGTTCAATGGTTACGCTACATCTGACAGAGGATAAAGTGAAAAATTAGATGGGAAACGTGTTTCGACATTGGAGATCAAAGGGTTAACGAAGCACAGTTCCAAACGCGGAACGGAAGCTTCAGCATATCCGGTCGCATATAAAGAGAGAAAGAGAGAGAGAGGGAGAGAGAGAGAGAGAGAGGTTGTTGTACGACGACAAAATGTTGAAGACTAACGGATAAAAGCGTGAGCTAGCTCCTCGACATTTGGTAATAGTTTATAACGTATACCTAGGGATTACTTTCTCGTTATATTCTCGTCATTAAAACAATCAAATTTTATTGTTCTTGTTGTTTTTCTTCCCTCTCGAATTTTGATTATTCGAAAATGTACAAAAAGATAAATAAAACACGTTGTTCTATAACGCGTGTTGTTGTACACGTTGTTTGATGACAAAAAAAAAATCGGCTGGAATTTACTTATTAAAAAAAAAAAAAAGTGCCAATTATAAAATGAGTTGTAAAGTAATTCACTCGTAAATATATATAAGCTTGTTGTAAGAAGTTCAGTTTAAAGATCGTTGTGTTTAAAGGTAGAAAAGAATGAAAAAAAAAAAAAACAAACAAAAAAGAAAAAAAAAACAAGTAAGAGAAATTATGAAACCAATTAAAAGCGTTTTTAGTTTAATAGATTATTATGGAATCGTGGCAGTAGTAGTAGTAGTAGTAGTAGTAGTAGTAGTAGTAGTTCAATAAAGTAAGCTTTCCTTCACCCTTTTCTTTGTTTCCCAGCTTGTTTACCACAAAGAAAGAAAGGGAGAGAGAGAGAGAGAGAGAGAGAGGGAGAGCGAGAATCTTTTGCAGGGAAAAAGGTTTTTCGTACGCTACGACGTGGAAAGTAAATTTGGAACGGAAAGACGACGAAGCGCGGCAATGTTTTAAAGAATAAACTGAAACTCTTGCTCGGCTTATGGTACCGTTAGAAACGTTATTACGTGTGCGAATGGAGCGTAAGGAATTAGCCTACGTGCAACGTCATCCGCCAAGGGTGACATTAACCGATTTCGCCGAGGCGAATGTAATTCGAGGGTAATTATGGACGGAGATTGTGTTTTCAGGCCATAATGGATCGGACGAATTGCTGTGGCACCGACTAACTGTTACAAAAGATGATAGTATTTCTCTTTCTCTCTCTTGTCTGCCTGCCTGCCTGTCTGTCTGTCTGCAGTCTGTCTGTCTGTCTGTCTGTCTTTTTCTCATTTTCTATCTACATTTTCTCCAATGGACGTTACGAGTTCATTTATTTTCATCTAACGCTATTCAAATAATTATCGATTGATGGAATACCGCATTGCAATCCCCCTCGATAAATTATTTGATTTAATTTTATTCTATATCATCGTTTCACGTCATTCTCTCTTTCTTTCTCTGTGTGTGTGTATGTGTGTGTTTTAAACTAGTTCAAAAGATTTAATCTCGACAAGAGGATTATACTAATAGTACGATTCGCATAAATACATTTATTCGACGTGTAAACGCACGCGACGACGACGTACACACGTATGTGACTATTGTTTACTATCGTTCTGATATTTTATAATAAAAAACAATTTCCTCAACCCACCCCACCCCCCGATAAAAATACACTTTCATTCGATTTATGCGTACAACCCTTCCTCCTTCGTTCAGGTAAATAATTTTTTTTTATTTTTCTACGACAATGTTGTCCTACCTTGATATGCTTTATTAAAATACGCCGAGTATATACGCGCGTTTTACCAATTATAATTTCAATTCAATTAGGAAGCTCATTTTCATTGTTTTCACATTGCAATGTTGATCGAAACTTTATTAGTTTATAAAAAAAAAAAAAAAATCATTTCTGCCTTCATATATTTTCAAATAAAACGGTAAACTTATAATTACAAATTACGTGAGAAAATATACAGTTAAAATATAAAAAAAAAAAAAAAAAAAAAAAAATTGAAAATAATACAGAATTTTTCGTGGTTTTACATCACTGATAGAATGTAACGAGAGCATAACTTGGAGATGAAACGAGCGGACGATGGAAAATTAAATGCAAATTTGAAACGGTCATTATCGGATGTATTGGTGCTTGCTCGAAAGAGAGAGAAGAGAGAGAGAGAGAGAGAGAGAGAGAGGTGAAACCGTTTCGTCGAAGAATCAACGTTCGATTGGGGGCGGGAGGGAGCGGGAATACAAAAAGAGGAGGAGGAGGAGGAGGAGGAGGAGGAGGAGGAGGAAAAAAAAGAACAACACATTGCAGTGCAATTTCGGTGCAACCAGCATTGCGCTGTTGCTGGTACGGTGCAAAACGCCTATAAAACGGGAATTCCCGTAGGTGATTTGTAGGACGCACGGAATCGTAAAAGGGTCATGTGGACGGGTATTTGGAAAATTTTCGAAACCACGCCGAGACCGCGAACGGAACAAGCGAAAAAAGCGCTTGCGCACTCGCGAGAGAGAGAGAGGAGATAAACAGAGAGAAAGAAAGGGAAGTAGGGATGGAGGTAGTCCTTTTAACCAGAGTTTTTCGAACGATCAGATGGATGTACAAAAAAGAGACAAAAAAAAAAAGAGGAAAAAGGAAAAAATAACTAAGCCTTAAAAATATTTCTCTCGTAAAAAAAGAAAAACCAGGAGGTCCGCTAGAGTCCAAACGAAATTCGGCGTACTCTTGTACTTCGTAGGAAAAACATTGTTTGAGATAAAAATGAGACATACGATTCGAGTGGTCAAACTAAAAGTACACCAACGTATATATATATGTATGTGTTTTGCGAGTACGAATAAATGTATATACGTATGTATGCGTGTACATGTATGTTGGTTAAAGTGAGGGAAAGGAAAGGAAGGTGGGGGAGAAATAACAACCGTGTAAGGTACATGACGAAAAAGAGAAAGAGAAAGAGAGAGAATAAAATACACAAAGAGAGAGAAAGAGAAAGGAGTAGAAGGAAAACCAAAAGAAAAAGCTCTATGAAAGCTCGTCGTTGTCGTCGTCGTCGTCGTTGTCGTCGTCGCGACGAACACCACCCGTCGTGAGTACGGCGACCTCGGTCACCGCCATCCTAGTAGTCGACGATATTTCTCGAAGCGACGGGAGGGTGCTTGTTTCTCTTAGAGAGAAGAAGGGATACCTTTTGCGAGTAGTACCTACCTATGTGATGTATATTGCCAGCGTGATAAAGGAGAACTATCCGTTCTTACCGAAGTAGCGTGGAAATAAGCTTTCCAGAACGACGTTTTCTCTTCTCCTACCTCCCTCTCTCTCTTTCTCTCTCTCTCTCTCTCTCTCTCTAGTTTTACCATTGGTTTCTTTTTTCTTTTTCATTTCTCTTTATTTTTCTTCTTCTTCTTCTTCTCTTTCTCTACCTCTCTGTCACTCGACTTTTCACGTGGAGGGAATTTTTTTCATTTTTATCTTTTTTTATTTTCTTCTTTTCCACACTCCTTACCAACAGTCACCGTACGAAAAAGTAAAAGAGGATAAGAGTACACCGAGAGAAGCAAAGAGAAGCAACATAGAGTACAAGGGTAAAAACGGGGGTAGAAGGAGGAGGAGAAGGAGGAGGGAGGATGGAGAGTACGCGTGCCTTTGAAATGCTCCACGTGAAAGCATTTTCGTCGTCTGTCGTTCTTGCAAATGACGGAGTTAACGGTATAAACGGCAACGCGAACGAGAACGCGAGGGGGTTGAAACCTTGTCAAGCAGGTAGAGACGAGAAAACGGGAAAAACGAGAGAGAGAGAGAGAGAGAGGAAGGGGGGAGGGAAAGGATAGGAAAAAGAACGAACGAAGTATCGTCGTTGTAAAACGAACAGAACAGAACAGAAAAGGTAGATAAAGARTGAGAAAGAACTACGCGGGATTTTAGATCTTAGCCAGGAGCTATGGATTATGCGAAGCGTGAGTATTGCAAAGAACGAATAAGGGATGATGAGAATAGAAGGGGAGAAGGAGGAGGAGGAGAAGGAGGAAGGATACCAAGAGAGAGAGAGAGAGAGAGAGAGAGAAAGAGCTTGTGGATGGACCACTTAAGGGATGGAAAAGATGGGATAAGTACTGTTACGGTTCTCTCTTTCATCGTGAGAAAAATAAGAAGGAGACAGGGGAAAAAAGCAAGTTTCGCGTTTACTTGCCAACCTAGCGAAGATAATTAAAACGATTATTCTTCACGGTTTACCACGGAGTATCCCTTCCCCCCCCACCCCACCCCCTACCAGGACACGAGCCTTTTAATAATTTCTTTTTTTAAAATACCTAAGAGAAAATACTATCACATTGTCAAATTTGTATATCGTTATTAAGTAGGATAGTAGATGTAGATATTAATAAAATAAATATAAAATGAAATTGAATTTCTAGATTGTTAGATTCCTATTATTATCGTATAGGATGTAAAATAGATTTGAATTGAAATATTTGAAGTATCTCACAGGGAGGAAGGGAGAGGAGGAGCTGGCTCCGGAAAGAACGGAGCTTCACAACGACGACACCTACATTTCCGGTTAATGTATTCTTTATCATGGTTCGTAACATCCTACGCGATATGGCTAGGAGAAATGATGAGTGCCACCTGTTGACACGTTCGACACGGTTGTCGCGTCTCAGCGATAAATCGACGAACTCGAGAAACGAGAAGTAGGAGGAAGAGAAGGAGAAGGAGGAGGAGGAGGCGGAGG